TCTCTCTCTCTCTCTCTCTCTCTCTCTCTCGCTCGCTCGCTCTTTGGAATCCTCTTTTTTTCGGTTTATGCTGCCACCTCATTGTTTGTGGCTAGCTAAGTGTGTGCGTTTGCCTGCATTGGACTATCTCGCTTATACACACCCTCTATTGTTTTTTGTTTGTCTTGTTTGCTCGCTGCTGCTTAATTGTGCGGCAGCCTCTTTGTCACGCACCCCCGCTCTGTCTCTTGTAGGCATGTGCGAGTGTGGGGAATCGGGCAGAAGGGTGCTGCTATGTGCGTCTGTTTGCTTCGAAAAGGCACTGAGGAAGGAAGAAAATGGATCGAAAGGGTACAGTGCATCGAGGAGAGTTTTTTGTTTGCTTGTTTCGTTGTTTTGACCTCGTTTATTGGGGGAGAGGAAGGGTTTTTGTTCTTGTTGACTGGGGTGTGGGCGGCATGGCTTGATTGCTGTGCGCACGTTTGGTGAGGTACATGGTGCGGGCGTGTTGTCCCTCGCCTTGCATAGTGAGTGCCTCACCGCCTCCTCATTCATAGAGGTACAACATGGGGAAAGAACGTGCGTGGTGTGTTATTGATGCCCTGTGAAATGAGCTGGTGTTGTTTGCTGGTGCCGGCGGTGAAGGGAGTGGCGGAAGCCTGCTGTTACACGCGTAGCAACACTAGAGGGGGCATTCAGGCATCGGAACACGATGCACGCACATGCGGACACACACACACACGCACAGCGTGTCTGTGAGAGAAAGCGAGGGAGAAGAACAGGTGGGGTATATATATATATATATATATACATACCGACGCGAAGAAGAGGAGAGTGGTTGACGCTTGCCATCATCTTTCTGTTGCATTCCCGTGTGTCTTCTTTCCACGTCCCTTGTTGTTGTTGTTGTTTTTTTGCGCACTTCTTCCATGTTGCTGATTTGTGTTTCTTTTGTTCGTGCTACAACGATCGCGCGTACCTCGAAGCGAAGACAAAAAAAATATGGATGCGTTTCGTATTCTTTTCCCTGTTTTTTTTTGTTGTTTTGCTTTTTCCTCCTTCCGTGTCCCGCCTTCAGGTGGGTGTTGTTGTGTCTGCCTCTGTGCGTGTATTTGTGTGTGTGTGTGTGTGTGTGTACTCGAATACCTTTTTGATTTTTTTTTTTGGTTGGCTTTGTTTCCTTCTGTTTGATTGCTTGGTGCTACCATGATGGAGCGTTATCTGTTTGCTTGTTTTTCTTTCTTGCTCGCTGCGGGGGGCGGCGGTGCCCGGAGACACGCACCCGCCGCTCCCCCGCGGTGCACTGGAGTGCAGTGCAGGTGCGCAATGTGTGTGGCTGCCCCACACACGAGCATACGGCCACCACAGACGGATACTGCGGTTACAGCCGTCAGATCTTTTTTTTTTT